CATTCGACATCGCTCAAATGGGAGTAGCCGTCACGCGTAGCGTGAAAGCTTTGGTCATCTTCATCATCCAACATATTCATGTTGGATGTGAACGCGGTCCTTGGACGGACTACGAAGTGCTACCAGGTGTAACGGGGCACCCTGAAGCTTGTACTGGTGACAGTACAAGCTACTTATACTGATAACAGAATAAGGCGGTGCCTCGTAACTTCACGTACACTCGTACGTGCAGAGGAAGACGGTAAGAAGAAGCGAGTACTTGGTTAGAGTAAAAAGTAGAACTGTATTTATAATAGTTAATGTCTGCAATAAATCACTATTTATCCTCATCTAACTATGTCTGAATACAAATGTGTAAATCAGTTATCTGCTCACCACTCATGGCGTGCGTCTGTCGTGGCGCGTCTTCGTTGGTTGATATAATGGCCTATATCAACCAATTAGGAACTACTTGTAAGTGCTACAGAATATTTGTCCTTATGACAATATTCTGAGAATATAACTCTTATAGTTATATTCTATTAACAATTTCGTATAAATTGTTATGTAACGATTCACCCCGTTACATTTCTTCTCCAGGTTTAGACTTTATCGGGAATTTTTGAAAGCCCTGGCTGGTGGCCATTTGCAACGAAAGAGAAAGATAGTAATGATCAGTTTGTGAAGGCTGAGGTTGCTAAATTTGCATTCCCATTGCGACACCTGCATTTTGACAGATCAGATAGAATCTCAACTAATCGCTTGTATGTGAAGATTTAAGGTCCAGTATTCTCCAAATCACAACAAAACAGCATCTAAGGACTTCTGGTTTTTTTTTTTGGCAAATAAGCATTTATCAACACCTGACAGAAGTACTGCAATCTACGCAATGGACATGCACGAACAAAAGATAAACAAACGTTTATTAGGCATTTGTTCTCTTTCCGTCACTTGTCGAACCTTATCGTCTGGATAGTGCACACTCGGTACCTGAACCAGGGAGGGGATAGACGACCCCGGCCTCCGACTATGAAAATTTGAATTTTCACAGTGGTCATCGCAGCATTTCATGGACGAAGCTTGACTGGAGCCACATAATTACATTTAGGTTCGCACATGTGACCTGGGCAGACATCTACATTGTCATCACTTTGAGCATGCATGACATCGAAAACACCCCCGTAGGCGACGACAGCAAGGACGACTCAGAGGGCGGACTTGAGTGGCATTGTACCGTAGGCTTGGCTTGGCTTTGTTTTGTTCGGTCTTCTCCCTGCTGCGACGTACGTGGCAAAATCAGGAATGAACCAGGACTGCATTCTCGACACTTATGTGCTGTACACGCGCAGTCGTGGTCATGCGACGAGTGAAAGTCGTCGATCCAGCCATACAACACAGAAGAGAAGTCTTGTCGCAGAAGCATCGTGGTTGCATTGCGCATACAAGACGAGATTGCGAAGTTGCGATGATTGGCTCTGCGACCGCGGGTTGCAGCAATTCTTGATTTTGCAAAGCAACACGCAAGGTAAAGAGATATACGTGCGCGGTAGAGATGTAACGATAGAATGAGGAACGCCTATCTAACCCGTCCATAAAAAAAGAGAATCACCATCGTGTGTGCTCAGTCGGATCTATGAGTGAACAAGACGAGGATTTAGGGGGTGCGACCAGCTGGCTAAAATACAGCCACGTCTCCTCGACATTCTCTACAACTTAATGTTACAGAATACAATGGCACAACCTTTGTGTCCCACATCTTTACAACGCTGCTTTTCGTATTGGCCATCAGCATGTTGCAATCTCTGCCTGAATGGAGTTTATTTATGCGATTGAACGGTACAAGTGTCATCTGACGGAGAAGGAGCAGACCACTTGACACGAGCTGTACTTTTAAGTCGCTAATCTTGGTGGATACTGTGAGCGCTCGTTTCTACCTACCGCCCTTCGGGATTGTGTTCGAAAGGTTTTGGTCGAAAAGTCGTTGAATCTCGAAGATTCTTTGAGCCTTTGCGCCCATCCATTACAGAAGGGGTTGGATTTTTTTAAGGTGATATTGCAGAGGGAGGGCAACTAGTAGCCAGGAAATAAATTGGAAAGCATAATAGTCGTTAATAAAGCTGCAAGAGCCTGCAGCTACTTATCGTAGAAGCACTACGATGGTCTCGCCTGTGTCGTTTCCCTGTCAGATAACCGACTGCTGAGGTTTCACTTTTGTGTCCGTTTCAAAACGATTACAATCAGACGTCATCAAGACGTTTAAGCGTGCACAAAGTGTACATCATCAACAGGATTCTTCTCTGCACGATTTGAAATTCCGTCTCATTTTACTCACAAAAAATCACGCCACAGTCTTACGGTACCACTCTTTCGATCAGTTCTTTTTTCATTTAAAACAGCAGGTGTGCCGCAATCCTTTCCAGAACGTGACAACATGCCTTTTACACCTTCAAATGCGACGATAGAGTCTGACCCGACGCAGCTGCAGTAGAGCAGCTGGCACGAATCTCATCAGTTGAAGCAGCCACAATGCTGGATACATTGGACGCCCGCTTCTACCGATTTGGTCAGAGAATGTTCTCGTAACCGTCTGGACGCGCTGCTGATGAATCTGAAAGGTTCTTCAAGCGTCTGCGCTCGTCGTTAATTCTACGAGGTCCTTGCCATCCTGGCGTTCATGATCGATTTGCTGTCTACAACTCGAAACGGAGCCTTTGGGTCCACGGGCTTTGGGTGGTAGACTTAATGCGCAGGACAGCAATGTGTGGATTTGATTGCTGCCACCGGTATGGAGTGCTAAGCAAGGCATCAAATTGAACATTGCAAACCATTTGCCTGGATCTGAGATGAAGGAGATCATTGTTAGACTTCGACGTTGAAAGTGTACGTTGCGATGTCGAGTTTGGAGGCCTCAAATGCAGATAGTAAAGGCGCAGCATTTGCACGATGCGATTGAGAAGTAGAAGGAGTTCAGACACTGCAAGCATAACTAGACCAAAACGTCTTCTGCAGTGGTGGTAGGCGTTGCAATCCGAGTCAAAACGAGGACAATCATGTCAGCGTACCATTAATGAATGTAGCAATCGTCGTCGATGCAACTCTCGCAGCTACTTGACAATCGCCCATTAATCATGGGCTGTTACCGTTGATTCAAGCCAAGCTTCCGTTCAGCATCCTCTATCTTCGCAGTAGCAAAAAGACATGTACGACCAATGTGTCCCTCGTCCGACAAGCGCCTGTTTTCGTTTCTTCATCCAGTCGTTGGTCGTACACACGACGAACAGTCCAAATGGCTACAGGCCTCGATCAAGTCTTGTGAACCACGTCACAAACGCGAGAGACCAACCGAGTGACGTCGCGTTCGTCCTGGCCAATCAATTCGCTCTAAAGTCCCCATTGCGCTCCTCAAGTCCATCCTCGGAGCTCCTCCTCACTCGTGATGGTCCGGAAGAGCAGCAGCACTCGCCCCGTCGCTCCATCAGTGCGTTAGTGCGAGCCGAAGATGCGGCAGAGGAAGAGATCCTCGAGACGCCAGCGCTCAGCTCCATTGCGGTCGCTGATCGTGGGTACAAGAGTGAGAGCGACGACGATGTTAATGACAGCGACACCGTTGAAGCAGAAGGTGCAATCGAGCGTCGGCTCGTAGCTGAGGCTCAGGCGGAAGCAGCGACTGTTTTGAGCACTTTGAAGTCAGAGAACAAGCGTGTGTACAATATTGAGGCGCTGCTGGCGCTGGTGCAGGAGTGGGACGTCAAGCCGCTGCCGTGGATCGAGACCCTGGAGACGTGTACCGCTCCTTTAGAGCTCGAGAACTTGAATGACGATTTGAAGCGGGAAGTGGCGTTTTACACCAACTCAATCGCTATGGTGCGTGTGGCGAAAGACCGACTGAAGCAAGACGGCGTGGCGTACAAGCGGCAGGACGATTATTTCGCCGAGATGCTCAAGCGCGGCGCGCACATGGACAAAGTCAAGGACAAGCTTATTCACGAGCAGAAGAAGATCACGGCAGTCGAAGAGCGCAAGAAGTCACAGGCGCATCGGAAGGTGGCGAAAGAAGTGCAGGCAGAGAAGGTCAAGGAACGGAACATGCAGAAGAAGGAGACACTGTTGAAGCTGTGAAGCAGTGGAAGAAGAGAAAAGGTAAAGACACACGCAGCGGCAGCGGTCTCAAGGATGGTGACGATGGCGAGCTTGACTCGACCATCGTGAGTGGCAAGCGGAAGCACACGGGTGGAGACCGTGACAAGGGGAGCAAAAAGCCACGGACGAACAAGACTCGAGAGGCCAAAGATGCAAGGTTTGGCTTTGGGGGCAAACGTCGCCATGGCAAAAGTAACACGAAGGAAAGTACGAACGATATCTTGGGCTTCTCGGGTGCACGAAAAGGCATCAGGACCAATGGTCAATCTCCACCGAAAGGAGGCAAACGTGCTAGCAAGAATTAACGCACAAAGGGCCAACGGTAGATGGGGGAAACTCTGGTTAGTCAGCTACGCTGACGAAGTAGAGACTGCTAGTCGAGAGTCGCTACATTTGATAAGAGAAAGCTCCTTATTCTTTGTTGGTTGTTTATCAGGAATTAGTTCGTTGCTGTAGTCTTTCGTTAAGCACCCTGATGAACTTGAATACCATCATAAACACTTTGTCCCGTTCCAAATGGAATATTGTTCTGCTGCATGAAAGCCAGCAGCATCTGCCGTTCGTTTGGTGGCAGCATGTCGAGGTTTTGTGGGGTCGTGTTGCGCGCAAGTTCAGCGATAGCGTCAAAATGACCAGTTGAAGCGCTATCGCCGCCTGCACCGCTGGACTTGACGCGCTTCAGAGCGTCGTGGTCTCCTTGTGTAGGCGCTACCGGTCCTTCGCCAGCGGAATACGGTCTCTTGGCTGCACGTGGATCTCCTCTTCCTGCTCGACAAGGATCGCGACTAGCGTGCACCAAGTTACTGCTAGGCGGTTCGCTCGAATGTGCTGGTACAGTTGGTGTGGGCATCAAGCTTGATTTAGACTGAGTGTGCATCGGGCTAGAAGCAGGGGCGGGTCTGTTGGTCATAGCGGCACTCGTCGCCTGAGCAGCCAAAGGCCCCGGTCGTGCACTCCATCGCGTACCACCAGCTTTTGCTGACGCTCCTGGCATAGCCGACCGAACAGCCTGGCGGGGCCATACCTAGAATACCAGAACTAGATACCGCAGACCCGCCCATAGATGGCCGTAGCGGTTGCTGCATCATCCTTCCTGCCATGGGTGGTGGTTGGTGCATCATGGGAGGAGGGGCCAGCAACACTGCTTGTGTCTCTGTTGACGACGGAATGGAGATCTGTAGTGTCTTGAAACTCTGCACAAGTGCATGTGTTAGCGCTGGGTTCGCCATCATTCTGTGCACAAGGAGGTGTGAGGTGGGTTATATAAGCTCTTGGTCACCTCTGGCTTCTGGTTGCATGCTCCTTCAGCTGCACCAACATGTCGTACAACTTGACTGGTCCGAACCGAGAGATGGCCGACTCGATTGCATGGATCGCCATCTCTCCAGTCCCCATCGTCGGGTGCCCGCCCTCGCCCCAAAAGTTGCTACCAGTAGCTCCCCCAGGTCGAGATTGGCCTCCAGTCTCGTGACGTTTGCGTTCGGACCCTCCAGACTGTCCCCATTATGGCTTCCAGTCTCGTGACGTTTTCGTTCGGACCCTCCAGACTTGTCCTTACCATCGACAAAGTCCACCCGGAGGTTGCGTCCATTGATCTCGTACCCATTGAGGTTCCGCATGGAACTTAAAGCCGTGGCTCCGTCTGCATATTCACAAAAACCATAGCCCTTGGGGTTTCCAGTCCCTCTGTCCGTCACGAGGCTGCAACCAGTTGCAACGAAACTGCAGAAAAGACATGAAGTCACGTAATTTTATTCGTCAGACAGACACATATTAACAGAGAGTATACACGTGGTGAGTCACCACAGGCTAATGATGACGGCTCCCAAGTGAAGCTTTTCATTCGGGGGGAGTCGGACGGTGGGTATACGAGAAGAAGAAAATTAGAATACCCGAGTCTATAGGGGCGTCCGAATCAGAGCCTGCGAATAGGACTCGAGCGGACAGTCAGACTCATGGTGAATACAAGAGTACCTTTTTAGTTCGGAGGATAAGCATGCTGACACGCCCTACCCCCGCGCCTGCTACTGCACATTCGCTTTCTAGCTAATGCGGAGATGACTTTTACCGCCGTAATGACAATTTTAGAGGTATCAAGACTTCCGTTAGTAATGCTTAAGAGGCTCTAGACGTATATGTGCTGCGGCTTGCCTCCGAACACAAGAATTGGGGATTACTAGAAAGAATTTCGAGATACCTGTCAGGCGAGACAAGTCTACATCATCGAAATTCATTATTCGACGCAAGGTTGTTGCACAGCCTCTACATCAGCGCAAGTAACTTTTAAGCTGAAGTAGACTTGTAAATGAATGTTTTTCCGAAGCATCGTTGGTATAATGACAGCACTAAGGAAGACAAAAGCTCGTTGCTGCGGGCGTAACGCCTTAATGCTCAATGTGCAGCACATGGGGATCAAAGCTTGGCTTCAGATACTTAAACAGCTCGTGTTAGGTTTGAAAAGCGAACCTTAACTGGTGCAAAAGCCAAGTTAGCATTCTGTGTCGTGAGGCAAGAATTTCATACCTCATGTGGGGCGATTTATGTCCGTGTTGTCTCGACAAAGCTCAACGCACCTAAAGGAATGTGTGCTCCCTTCCTTCATCACCCTGAGGTAAGGCGCCCATCGATTCTAAATGCACAATGCGATTGCTAGCGTGCAATCTCTCTACCAGCGCCATTGGCGCGTGTTTAACGATGACCCTTCTGAGACATCGGATGTGTCTCGTCGTACTGGTGGACGAGACCCTCAACGTCAATCACCATCTGGGTGCGAGGCTCTCAGCTGTCGTGCGAAGTGTACAGCCTCGCCAGAGAAAAGGACAGTTTGTTCGCTTCCCCTTTACGTCGCGTGGTTCAAGATGCAATCCACGTGACAGGTTTGGCCAGTGTGAGAGTCCAACAATGGCTGTAGTGAAGACGAAAGGATCAACTCCGAATATTTTACTGGAGTTAAAGGCGAAGATTAGTTGTCTCCAGCCACGCTTACAAATTCTGCGTGATAGTAATGAGCAAGAGAGACAAGAGCGCCTCCCTTTAAACGCGTGAGTGCAACGCATCCACCTTCATCGAACAGGCGACCTATCGTATCAGGCATTTTAATAAAAAATAATAACGAGCGTGTGCGTCCAGCCTTTCGCGACGAAGTGGATGAAATGCGTCGCCAGCACGCGGTATTCAGAGCCAGATTAAGAAACTGGCTTGGGTTTATACGAATATCTTAGAGTTTCTTGAGCGTGGCGGATGTATTATCCCAAGGACGAGACCTCGTTCCGATGGCACGGGCAGAGGCGACCGACTCTGAGCGTAGGAGGCGTACGTATCCTGCGAGGTAACTCGATCGTCAACGCATTACCTTTACGATGTTTCACGAAAGGAACCGATGTTTTATCTTTGCGATGTAGTACACGAAAGGGCCTGATGTGTTCTTGAGGATTAGTTTACTAGTAACCACGTTAGTTACCACGTGCTAAAGTAAATTTTAATGTAGACGGTAGAACTAAGTCTTTAACTTTTAACAGAATAACGTTGGCTCTTCCATGTTCGTCAGCAATCGGCTTCTTCCGTACTACCGTGTAAGCGATGAAGTCTTGCATAAAATGAACCACCGCTTCTCGTGCCATCAAGAAAATGTCTGCTGACTCACAGTAATTTTTTTCAGAGCGCCTTGTGCATAATAGTAAATTTTTATCTTCTGCTTCAGCAAGATTTTTCTCACCCTCGCTGGTGTTGTCATTAAAAATGCTAAATACACCCGCATCGTATCTATATCCGGCTCAGCCATTGTGAAGTCGCTTTTGCTGAGGTTTCTTCCTCGATGTCGATCAGATCAACATCAGCAACGTTCGCGTCGTCGAGTTCCTCGACACGTGATGAGCAAGAGGCGGATTAATTTTTATGATCGAAAACCGCTCTTCTATGAATCAGAGTCACGCTCTAAATTTGCTGGAAGGTGTGTATGGATTAAGCCGCTAACGGAAATTGGTGTATGTGTTGTAGACGCATGCACGAGGTTGTTGATTGCAAACTCCAACATCGTCCAAAATTTGATCCATTTGTGAAAGACTGGACGCATCCTAAAATCTTTGAGGACGCGATTGACGCGTTCTGTCAAACCCAAAGTCTTAAAATGGTAAAAAGTAGACATATTCAGACGTGTTCCGAGGAATCGAAACACGGATTGCAAAAACGTCGCCGTGAACAAAGTACATCTATTAAAATCTAGTTAATGTTGTAGACCGTGGATTCATAATACCGTGTCAATGAAGACAAGGGCACGACCATGGGATAAAATTGACTCATTAACTGCAGCAAGATGTAACATCTTGCTAAATTGGTCTACGAACACAAGAATACCACTATTCTTGCGAGTGTCGTCGCGGGAACGAATATGATTGAAGCGAATTTCCAGTAGTCTGCCGAAATTTGTAGAGGAGTTAGTGCCGCACAGGGTAAAGGAACGGAAATTCAACATGGAATACTTTCCAATAACCAATGTACTTATAAACGAAATGATACTGGCAGGCTCAGTAAAAGTCGCGACCGTGAGATATGCCTTTCAATCCCACGATGCCCACTAGGTGGTGCGACATGGCATTCGTTCAAGATGCGCAAGCGCAACTATTTTTGAATGGGGACGACAACACGAGGCATCTCTCCGTAAACGGCTGCAAAGAATAGAAATCCGCTGTAAATTTTGTTTTAATCCTCATGGAATTGATAACAGGCCAGTAAATCCTTGAAACATTTACGAAATGAGTCACCAGATGATCCATTAATTGCAAAAGAGCCTTGTTTCTGCTAAGCCTTTATGTTGATTCGTCGAGCAATCTTGACGGCGGAATATTAGTGACTAGTGTTGCTACAGTGGGATCACCCCTACTGTTGTACTACGCAGCTGACTTGTAATCGGTTTGGAGCGATTACGCATCTGTGACGACATTAAGTCGTCCAGGTTTAAACTTCACGAAAAAGTTGCAATCCTCAAAAAGAATAGCCACCTCGCTATCAATTGCGAGAGGTGTGGGCTGTTTACAGACGCGCGTAATGACGCATGGTCCGTACAGACTCCAAACGACCTATGTCCAAGGATGTAGACGCGAAACTTTGCCATTGCATAATTTATCAGAAGTAGTTACTTGTCATGCAATAAACTATTACGCTTAGCACTTGCAGCTGACGCGATTGATACTAGACGCGCTCTGCACCGTCTGCATCGTTTTTCATCAACAAACAGTCGATTGCGAAAACGCTGTCGTCACGGACCACATGGAATGGTCTGTCCAGGTCTGCAATCGCCAACACAGGAGATTGCATCAAGATTTTCTTGATACCTTCAAAAGAGTGCTGACACTCAGCGTACCATATAACTTCTAGTTCCTAGTTAAACGACGAAAGAGGTGAACGGTCATATCGGCGTAGTTGCGCGAGTATTTGTGCAAGTACGCCGCCAAGCTAAGGAACTTTTGAGGTCCCTTGACGTCGACTGGCACAATCCAATTGCTAATCGCCTTGATCTTTTCCGGATCAGGGCTTACACCCTTTTACTCACGATTTTCTACCTTTTACTCACGATTTTTATTCACGATGCAGCCAAGAAATGTTATCTCGCTCGCTGTGAATATACACCTCTTGAGGTTCGCTAACAACTTATGATCTCGCGTTACTGTAAGAACCTTTCGGACATGGATTCTATGAACCTCCGCGTCCGTCCTTGCATCCATTGCCCGGCTATGGACGAAGATTTCGTCAAAGTGGCTCGGTGCAATATCGCGCACCGACGGCAACAGATTTGTAACACATCTGTTAAACGTTGCGGGGGCGTCACTGAGCCCCCTGTAGCATCACTAGCCACTCCCCAGAGCATAGAGCTGGGGGTGCTCACTGCTCTGTAAGAGATATCCCGTTCACGCATGAGGATCTGATTGAATCCATCCATCAGATCTATGGACGAAAAAATGGTGCTTTTGCCATACCATCTATGACTACGTCCTTCATTGGTATCGGCGTTTGATCCGGTACCTTTGCAGCATTATAGTGTTTAACGTATGCAATATCCGCCACCTTCCTGTGGCCTTTCGCACACAGAAGGTCACAGAGATGTGTGGGGATGTTGATTCCCTCACATTACCAGCCGCTAATCGATCGGCAAAGAAATCGTCAGTCGCAAGTACTTGTTCACAAGAATTGGCCGCTGCTTTATGACACAGTACTTCCAACCATGTATCAGTTCGATTTCATGTCCAGAGCCTTTGTCCTTAGACAAATCGCATGGCACGGATTCCGGGAAAACATTGTTGAGTTCGATCAAATCTTTCTTTATTTAATTTTTTTTCTAAAGACTCCTAAGATTAAGACGAGTATCGCCCAATTCGAATCTTTTCATCGAGAACACTTTCGTCCATCGATGGGCTGCTAAGAACGCGTTCGTTTTTGGAAATCATTACTGCCGACCGAATGTCAGTCACTTACTTGTCGTCCGTGACGAGTATACACATGCCTTCTTGACATTGCGCCTACGCAGATTTCGCAAGACCCGTTTCGACTATAGGTTTGGCAACTTGATTTCCTCCGAAGTCAACTTTGGAGGAGCGATCTGATCAAGTGTACATGCACCTACATT